TTTTTTTTTTTTTTTTTTTTTTTTTTTTTTTTTTTTTTTTTTTTTTTTTTTTTTTTTGCATATTTAGATGTTCGCTCTTGTAAAAGCTTCTTTTTTATATATATTTATATATTATTATACTCTCGGCAGTTTTGATAGACAATGTGTGTGTAGACATTTTTATGACGCAAACTAATTATCATTAATTTTTTAGGGCATTACCAGGATAATTGCAAGTACCACATGGTATTATAGTCCTGCTCAATTGATAAAAGATTGGAAAACCGATAAAACAGAAGATTCTGGCAGGTTCTTGTATTTGGTCCAAATGCGTGTTTTGTAAGAGCCGTTAAAAAGTTAAAATACTTCCAAGAGTGAAAGTTTTTAAAGTCGAATGTGAGCATCGCTCAAATTCCCTCGAGTGAGCTGTTCAAGCCATTTGCATAGTATATACCTATAAACTTGGTAAAATCTCGCGGTAAGTATATCAATCGACAAGTTGTGCAAGCCATTTGCAAGTGTCCAACTATTTCGTGTATCGGAACAATGTATGTACGCACTCGGGTACAGTAGGTATATAAAGTACATTATAAATAACGAAAGACAAATCACAGAGACGACTCGTCGCAAGGGTAAGTGCTCGCGCTACGCTAAATATTACCAATGTCAATGCCGTACTCCTATTTATACATGAACCTACGATTGGACAAATATACGCACCTATGAGTGTGCAACAATTATTGCTTTATATGTGTCTCACAGGTTCCTCAAAGTTTTGAATTTCGCGCTCGTTAGCAGACGCCTTTTCTTTGTTTAGCGACGCCAGCGCCATACGCGGTAATTTTGCGCAACTAAGCAACTATCGCTATAGGAGCCGCAAAAACAAAACCTAACCTCACCCACATGGTCTCATAACAATAACAATAACATATGCACAGCGCCGCTGCTGGTCGGCTGATGTGCTGTTATCTGTCTACACATAACTTTGGCAAAAATATTAAAAATAAGAAACTGTGCTCGTTTACGTATTTAACAAGCCGGAAAAAAATAGAATAGAGATTGGACAAACGCACGCGACAGCCACGACAGACACTGTGTGACACGAATATCCCCTGACGGTGCAGGTGTATACCCGGGCTGAACGATGTCCTTCTGCATAAGGGGCATCGCGAGCAATGGCAGCAGGTACGTGGTACCGCAAATCGTACAGGGATGCACCGGTGGTGCGTCGGTACGACGTTTCAACAGCCGGCAGTTGCCCGTACCTGTAAAGTCCCAGACTGCAGCCACAACTGGCTTCCTCAATGAGGTTTGCTCCTTTTTTTGTTGTTGTTATTATTTGACTTTTAGCGTTTAAATGGCTCGTCTCATTGTTCTCTTACATAATGAAACTCATCACATGGGTGCTGTTGCAGTTTTTGGGCTCCAACCTACAGCTGAGCTCATCGTTTAGAACAAAGGATGAGTGTCAAGTGGAGGGTGAAACAAGCTCGCCCGGTGCTAATGTGCAGGTCGACGAGCTCTTTCATAGTCAACAACCTGCCTGGGAAGTCGTTGAACATGATACTCATCCGATGTCGAGGTTGAAAGAGAGCCATCAGCTGCTTAGTAATCAGGAAGAGAACTGGTTGCACTTAAATCGGAAGACGAGCTTGACAAGACTGGGGGATCTACTGACCAAAGATAGCGCCAAAGATACCGGAGTACAGTTTTCGGTGGTACCAAAAATTGCGGCTATTCCCAAGGAGAAAAACGTACAGGCGTCGTCGACAGAAAAGAATTTTGACAAGAAAACAAATGAAGATCTCACGCATGTGTACGAGACGTTGAAGATTGACGTGAGTTTTTGCACACTGTTTCTCATTTTCGTGAATATCCTTGAATTGTTGCACGATAGTTTTGGTATTTCATAGTCCTGTTTGTTTTCCCATCAATAGTTTCCGGCATTTTTTATCAAAACAATCAACTACAAGATCTATCATCCTGAAATCGAATTTGTGAATAACATCAAAGGAGAAACTACCAAGTGAGTATATTATTAGTTTTATAAATGTTTGATCAAATTATTAATCATCTTTTTAAATGTGTGTCAATGATGATTGATTACAGAGGTATATACCCTTATGTTAAACAAATGGCTTGGTTAAGGACAGTTGGACATATCAAGTACGCATATGTTAAAATGGATGTTCTTCAAATTACAATGCACACACAAGATAACACTGTCAGGGTGCGCTGGCGTATTAATGGTATAACTGGAATCAGAGTATTAATTAATTTTTGGAAATTCAAATTTTGGAAGATAAGGGAATCTTTGAAGGAAGCAGAAGCGTAAAGATCTATATTTATTTTGATCATTCAGTCATTGAACTTTTTTATTCATATCCATTGATTTTTTTTCCTTTTTAGATGGCATGATGGGTTCTCCACTTTTTATGTTGGTGATGATGGGTTGGTGTTTAAACATGTCGCTGATAAAATAATGCCTGACGAAGATGTGGACATTGCTAAGCCCAAAGATGGTATACCGTCGAAGCTAGCCTCGCAACTCACATTTTCCAGTCTCAAGTAAACTAGGTTCTCTTAATTACTGCTCATCAGTAAACCTGTACATTTTTGTATCAAGTCCTCAGTAGTTAAGAACACCTATATCTTTTACAATCAAAGATTACTATGCTAATAGTATTAATAATGTATATTGTTAGTTGATTGCATTTTGAATTTTGAATATGCAACGCAAGCATAATGCTCAACGTAGCGTAATTACAAAGTAACGTGTTGTAATGACCGTTATGATTTGTTAAATATTTGTCAAAAAAAGTAGGCTACTACCGCAGAACAAGTGTGCACCTTGTACTAAAACTATTACATCATTGTCAATTTTACTATTTACATTGCTATCCTATTATTTACAAGCCTCGTTAGTTGTGAATCATAAGAAAATTGTTGAGAATTTATCAAGTTTTAAAAAACTCAACTTATTTTATCCGTATTTGTAGAATGTTGCGTCGAAAGTGCTTAGTTACTACCTTACCGGCAGCTGTAGGTAACGAAAAGAATTTATTAAAGGAAATCGATTAAACACCAAAAGTTCTGAATAATAACGTTTAATCGTAAACTCCAAAAATTTACAATATCTAAAATCTCATATTTACATTAATTCATAGTTCAACAATGTTATTTGCGCAATTCATCATAACTTTTTGTGCATGTATAAATTTCTTGTGGCATTGCAACCGCGACAGACAAAATTTAACATTTCGCGTGACCCGCTCAAATTTTTTTTTTTTTTTTTTTTTTTTTTTTTTTTTTAACGAGAGCTCGTTAACTGTAATCCGAGACCATTGGCCGAGAGTCACGAGTGTGTATACATGTATTTTGCGGGTCGGTTATTGGTCGGCGCGTATATATTTTCGGTGGTGCGGTCNAATATTAGAGTGCTCTACGTCCGGCTCCTTTAATAAGGGCACTTAGCACTTGGGAGAAGAAAGGGAAGAGGGATGGGGAGGCCTCCCATTACTGGGAGGGGGGGGGTTAGGGGGAAATTAGGCAATTGTTGCTGCGAGAAGGTCGCCTAAAAACCCCTCCTCGAGGAGCATTGCGTGGTGAAAAAGCACATGTGAACAATCACAGAGGTACTTGCTCGATAAGTCGTGCCTATCCACGACCTAGCCGACCGAGTCCCCGCGCGCTCTCTAAAAATATATCAATATATATATATGTATATTTTTGGTGCATCCTGCGATAGGAGCACGAAAATTGCCAAACTATGAAATAATGAAGAAAAATGATTCTGTAGTTAGAACGACTAGAGATATTGCAGAGATCATTATTTTGTTACGCCTGTTGTTTGTTTGTTGATATCAAACATATGCGGATGAATAATAATACCAACAAATTGTGAGACATTCACACACCCACGTACACACGTGGTATAATCGACGCCTCTTACGAAGAACAATGGAGCTCAGAAATTCCAATGTTAATTCAAACGGAAACATCGGATCTCCGTTGCTCTTCGTAAGAGGCGTCGAATATAATATGATATGCTTGTGAGGGAGGATTTTATTGTTCCGATAGGAAGATATGAGAAATAAAAGAGATTTTATTCAATAATGTGCGCTTTTATTAATAATATTCCTTCCTATCTGCCCCTGTCTGCTCTCCTATCGTTTTTTTTTTTTTTTTTTTTTTTTTTTATTTCGTCACGTTTCCGGGAATGAGATGATGCAACGAGGTGAGTCTACATACATGCCGACGCTCGCGTTTTTTCTCATTTCATCTCGTTAACGTGTAATTTACATTTTCAACCCGAGGGTTTGTTAATAAACGAGCAGTTCCATGAAAAGCGCGTCATTCGCTTTTGTTAAATTTAGTTTGGGTGTTTTTCCACGATCGGCAAGCGCTAAGAGCCCAAAACGAAGCGAGTCAAAGGAGCTTTCGAGTCGGGGGATGTGATGCAACATCCAAGCCGAAAGTAACGTGCCATTTAAGAGTATACCTATACGATTTTCCGGCGCTTAGCGAATTTCCGCTCAATTTACCGCGATTTGAATGAAAAATGATTTTTCGCTTTACTCTGACAAACAAGTTTTTCTTTAATAATTGCCTGTAGTTTGTTTTCAATAATTTTCGTTTCATTACCTACGTGTAATTTCATCCTTTTTTCGTGGAACTGTTCATGCCGCGAAGCGCAATCCAACAAGCCGTCAACTTTTACGACTTTTTTTTTCTCAAAGTTGTGCAGTAAAAGCTGCATCCTCCTCGCCGTTAGCACGTACACGAGCACCCACTTGGCTATATCCCACGTAATCCGTAAAATTGAACCAAACACAGTCGTTTGCATCACATTTGCCAGAGAGTCTCCCTACCAATGAAAAAAAAAAAAGCCATGCAAAAGCGAAATAAGACGTTTCCCAGATTTTTCTAAAAAAAAGTCCCTCTCCGTGCAGCAGGTAGAATAACAATTACCGTCCATTAGATGAACGACAGCCAACTAATTGCGCGTGTTTGAAAATTTGCATATCGTCTGTGCGAGCTTGTCCAGTCATTCGTTTCGTTATTCACTATTGACGCTGTCCGTTCTTTTTTTTTTTTGGACGAGCCAACGTTTATTATATACATGTATATTCGCACCTCAATGTACAAATGATTAACAACAGCAACATTGAAACAATGCAGGATCAGGTAGCCCGTGCGATCAACAGCAGCAGCAGCAGCAGCAACGTGGTAATCAGCATCCGATTGGCAATGGCGAGCAAACGCCGGCGGCGAACCTGCGCATGCGCAACAATTGCTGGTCCAAGGCCGAGCTCGCCGAGGAAGGCCGGCTCCCAGCCCAAATTCAGCAATCACCACCACCACCACAACAACAACAACTACAACAAACGCAGCAGCAAGAACAGCAGCCGACGGGCGGGCCTGGTCTGGGGAATGACCAAGACGGGGGTGGAGGGTGCCGAGGGCTGGCGGGGCAGGACCCAGAGAAGGACGACCCTGTTCACCTCAAGAGACGGGTGGGACTCGTCAGTGGGGTGGCTCTAATCGTTGGCACTATGATCGGCTCCGGAATTTTCGTATCGCCGACCGGTCTCTTGGTTAGTACCTGTATACCTATGTATATCTCTGTACATCTCTGTATGTTGCACACTTTGGGATTTTTTTTTTTTT